TGCCAATGACATCAGAAAGGTCCTGTGCTCTTGGGTCCTGTCCTGCTGAGATTCTCTGTGAGCCCCCACGCCCCCAGACCCCTTGGTTTTGTTATTGCCTATGTGTGGCACCTGGGGGGGGGGCGGGGCAGATGAGGCTTTCTGTGAATGTGTTGATCAGGCAGCTGTGGGGGAAAGTCGTGCTTGAACAGGTAGCAGATTTCTGATCTCTAGTTTGCATTGATCTTACATTTAGACACAGATTCAGAAGAACAGACCCTCCCTTTTCCAGTGCCTTCGGAAAGATTGCCGCTCCGTAGAATGAGCCCTTTCTCCTCCACCCTTAATCTGCAACCCAGCTTTCCCGGGAGATCCTACTTTGATTTCCGATCCTCACCCCACCAGATGAGCTTGCACTCTTCCTTGCAGTCCCTCAATGCACCGGGTGAGCCGAGCTGTCAGCCCTTTCCTCTTGCTCTCTGTACCCCAATGGCCTCTCTGAAACCCCTGTTTTGTTCTTGCCATTTATGTGCGTGGTGGAGGGGGATGAGCTAGTCTCTGTGTCTGTGGCCTGCTTCCTGGGGGAGGAGCATTTGGATGGTGGTGCTTCGTGGCTTTCTTGTTTGTGTGGTGTAAGGACCCACCACAGAGCTGTAGTCCGCGTCCAATGGCATTGGAAAGTGATGAGTGAGTGATTCTTTTTGCACAAACTGGTACCACCATGGAAAACCCGCTCTGTCCTCACATGCAGAGGCACAGCACACACAGGCGCTGGCTGAGGGGAGGACCAGGCAATAGTTTGCAACCCTTCTGTATCCAGGAAACCAGCTGCGACTGGGAGACTGGATAGATGCATCCAGCCCGGAGTGGTCTGATTAAACATAGACTCAAGAGATCTTGACAAAATAAAACACAGTCAATGAAAACAACAGCATGCATCCCACGAAGCGGGAAAAGCAGAGAGCAGGAAGGCAAAGCGCTTCCTGCCAAAGCCTGGCTCGCTAGTAGGATGCTGGGCTACTGGCTGACTTTTCTTCCAAAGGCAGGGACCACTACTAGCTGAATTAGAAACCCTTTGCTCCTAATGCCTAACGAATGTCCAAAGATCTGGGCAATCAAATCTTGCAGCCTCTGGGGAGCTTCCTACAGCCAATCTGGCTGTGACAGGGCCCGTGGCTGATTTCAGGGATGCTAGACTGGTGTCACCCTGCAGCAAGCTCTGCCTAGCAAACAGTAGCCCCCTAAACCATCTGAGATGCAGACCCTTTCGATCTCTTCAGGACTATATTGTAATCATGGATACACATAACGCACATTTCACATTTCCAAAGGTTTCTTTTGGTTTTTATTTTATTCTTTTGGCTCATCCCACATCCCGGAATGAAGAAGGCCACAGCATGACAGTGCAAAAAGGATGCAGGGACTTCGAGTGCTCTTAAAGATGACATTTTTCTTTGTGCTTTTACGTTTTTTATTGTTTTCCTGTGCACTACTGGCTTTCCGACATGCTTTGTTATTGAATTCTCTTCACTTGTGTCTGATGTACTGAAATATTGTTACAGTCTTTGTAATGTATATTGTCACAAGAATAAAACAAAATGTGGGCTTGGGGATATTTGATGGGTATATTTAACAGCATTGTTCTAGCTGTATTGTTGACACTTAAATGTATGATGGTGTGTTTGAAGTAGTGTAAAAAGACTTCAGAATATTTGTTTCAAAAAAAGACTTACAAAAGGCATGATTCATTTAAAAAATGTAAAAGCCCTCTTTAGCATTTACACATTTTCTTGCAGAGTTGGATATGACATCAGTTTCAAAATTCTGAGTGTTTTATACTCAGTGTGCTCTAACTAACCCATGAATAGAAGTTGAAGTGATGCTCAGGAGAGTCTAACCCTAAAAGCATCCGGGAGTTAGGAGAAATGATTCCTTCATATGTGAGTTCATAGCAGAGTAAAATAAGCCAATCAGCATTAAAGTCATAAGCTTTAAAGCCTGTTTTGAACTCGGTCCTCTTTTGTAGTAAGTTGCTTCTTCAATTCTTATAAGAAAATGTGCTGTGAGTCAGCATATTATCCTTCAATAGCTTTGGAAATTATAAAGTCTTTGCTAAATTGAAAAGAAAAATTACATGATCCTATATCCCCTAGTGCTCCTCAAACCCACATCTTCTAGACTGGCCCTCAACACCACTGGACACTGGACACTTATAAACATTTTAGGACTAGGCTACCTTCTTCCACCTCCCCTGGAATAGGGGTCTCCAAATCTTGGGGAGGGGCACGATGGGACAAATTTCCACAACTGCTCCCCCTATAACTCTGACATCTGTCCTGTGCTCCCAGCCTCAGGTGAGAAGAAGGACTGATGTCGCAAAAACAATCTAAGAAGAGGTGATTTTTGTTTTTCAAAACGTTCAGTTTGTACTCTTTTTGTCAGATGCATTCACATATGTATTAGGTCACATGCTCAATTATACAGGTATCATTTCACCTGGGCCCCAGGTACAAGATTTTGTCATAATCAGAGTTGGAAATGCGTAGAATGATGATACAAAGCTGAGTTCCATTAAGATCCAGGGATCTCTCAATTTCAATTGCTCAGATTTTTCTCATTTCAAAACAACCTTGTTAGTATGGAAATGCCAGTGGACACGACTAGACTTGGAATAATGAAAATTTAAGCTGCAGAGTTTAGAATCAACTGGAGACAGCTCATGAAAGAGGGAAATCGATGCTCTTCATTTATAAAGAGTCGAGAAGCAATTTTTCTCAGCTAAGAAAATGCACATAAAAAGGGCTTTGTTTTTTTTCATGAATCAGGCCTCTGGTGATATGTCCAGTTGGTGTTTTAAAATGTATACAAATAATTCTGATCAACCTGCTTGTTGTTTCTTAGCTTTGATGTGTAGTATCTCTTTATAGGATGCAATTTTGAGACACAGTCTGCACCTTACTCTCAATTAGGCAAGTATCTCCTCTGTGATTGTTATCTTTTACTTACGTGGCTGGTGTGCTAAATTTCCTTCAAAAAAAAATAAATGATGACAGCTTGTATCATGTCAATAAAGTTGTCTAGTTGTCATTCAAACCCCATTATAACAGTTTCTCAAATTCTTTAAAGAAATGGGACAGTGGTCCATCTTTTTCAATGTTTTCCGTTGAAGTTTACGAGCTTTGGAGTGCTTCAACACAAAGCACTCCATGAGCCCTGATACAAGTGATGGCAGCGTCGTAGTACAAGTAGAGTTTTCAGTGGAGCCCCTTTCTGGTATTAGTCTATGGAAAGAGACATGTGTTCTTATCAATGTCAATTTTGCTTCCTGTTTCTCTCCCCCATGCCTTTCACTGGAATGAAAACAGTTGACATTAAAAAGCTGTTGGCAGGTATGGAATAATCTTATTCTGTTATAAATAGCAAAGGCAGAAGCGCATGAGAGCTGGCCCTGAGGTTCAATACAGCAGCAATTTCATCTGCGTAGGCAGCTTTGAGATCCCGGTCATAGCGATGTGTTTAAAGACATCCTTCTCTTTGCGTTTAACATCCACACTACCTACTGATCCAGCAAGATACATCATTGAGCAAAATATACACTTCAGGAATAGCACACATTTTTCAGTTACGAAAGAAGCTACCTGTCTGACATCCCAGTCATACGCACTCCTGAAAATGAGAGTGTGTTGCTTCAAGTGTCACTGCCTGTAAGCAGATGTAAGAGCCAAGGCAGTTTTCAAGACAACTAGACGTTAGCGCTTCTGCCAAAGGGATACTTCCTGCTTTCACTCAGTGTGCTTTATCCCTCCTCCATCCAGGACTCTAGATCTAGGCTCCCAGCCTCAGGGCTTTCAGGCATCTTAGCTCAGACCCTCTCCCTTTATGTCTCTGGTGCACTGTCCTGCCAGTCACCAGGTGAAGGGACTTGTGCCTCCAAAGTCGGTGCCTCTCCACTCCCGGATCACCAGTTGGGAGTGCAGTCCGAGCTAGGTAACCCCTGGCAAAGTGGTTGTGTGTCCTCCACCTGCTTCTGGTGCACAACACTGACTCCCAGGATGAGCCCCTCCCGCTCACTTCTAGCTCCCCTGGCCCTGGACACCTCCTTCCTGCATGGCAGCATGAATCTACAGAACTGCACTCCTCACCAACCCAGGAGTGTGTCACAGTGCTGAGCCTGAGGGGGCCACCTTAATAACCTGTTTCCCTTCTGTCCTCAGTGGCCTGGTTTGCTTTCGACCCTGGTTCAGCGCACTCCGACATCATCTTCTCCAATGACAACCTGACAGTGACCTGCAGTAGCTACGACGACCGAGTGGTGCTGGGGAAGACCGGCTTCTCCAAGGGTGTCCACTACTGGGAGCTCACCATAGATCGCTATGACAACCACCCCGACCCTGCCTTTGGCGTGGCTCGCATGGATGTGATGAAGGATGTGATGTTAGGAAAGGACGACAAAGCTTGGGCAATGTATGTGGACAATAACCGGAGCTGGTTCATGCACAACAACTCGCACACCAACAGGTACCCTGCAGCCCCCAACCAAGCCTTCTTCATGTTGGCTTTGGGTCACCAGGGAGAGCCCTCGTCGGAAGGCCAGTTACATAGACAATGTCAAGGAGGTTGGGCAGGTGGCCTCATGAAGTCACACTCTTAGCTGAGTCCACCCTGCTGCACTATTTTTTGCATCATAATAGATGTCAGCCCTTTGCCTGGTCACTCATTGTGGTGGTTCACCCAGAGCTAGAAACTAGGACCCCCACCCCCCAGGCAGATCCATCATAGGATTCTCGAGTGCAGACCTACAACTTGCCAGAAAAAGGCTTTTGTCCAAGGTAATTTGTTTTTCTGAAACTTCAGATTGCGAATCCTCCAATTTAGAGTTCCATACAGGAAGGTTATGAGGACTAAATCCAAAATGCTTCACAAAAATAGAGCCACTGTCTATATTATGACTGTTATCACACCACTGCTTGGAATTGAAGCTATTCATTAAACTCAGTGTTTTTTTGTTTGTTTGTTCGTTTTATTTTAGGGAAGGCTCTACAGGGTGTTCAGGGTCTCACTCTAGATTAGACTTCTGGTGATCTGAATAGAAGCTATTCATTAAACTCAGTCTTTTATTTATTTATTTTTTATTTTTATGTTTTGTATTTTAGGGCAGGGTCTACAGGGTGTTCAGGGTCTCACTACTAGATGGGACTCATAGTGATCCACCTGTTTCCAGCCTCCCAAGAGCTGGGATTACAGGCACACGCCACCATGCACAGTCTCAGTTGTTGTCTTAGAATGCCCCCAGGGGTGGGGCCAGCATGGCAGGCCCGGGGATCCAACCTCCGGCCCCTGCGCCTGCTTGCCGGCGCTTTAATCTGCTGAGCTATTTGGCCGACCCTAAACTCAGTCTTATGGAAGCCAATTTGAATGGGCTTCTACTTGAGAAACTCCTTTAATGTATAAATTCAAAACACCTAGTTTGATGAAGAGAAAGTAATCATCTCTTGAGAGGTTTCTTCTACCATTAAAATATAGACAATTACATAGTCATCAGTTCTTTCCTTGGATACCTTTTTCATTTGTTTGTGTTGTCTTCAAGTGTAGTTTTCACTCATTTCCTGTGCTGAGACGTGTCTGTCAGACACTGATACACTTTATTCCCAAAGGTTCATCAGGATAGATTTTCATGGGGGGAAATACAGCATGTTAGCTTGAAGGGCAAGCAGTTCAGGCAGTGACAAGAGAGTTGGAGTCCACTCTCTGAGCTTTTCCTGCATGCCTGTCACTGACATTCTCTAGGCAGTAGCTTCCTGGGCCTCCTGACCCCTGGGGTATTTTCTGCACGTCTCATTAGATGTGTATTACTCACTACACCTGAAGTGAGCACACGTATCATTTCACTCACTATCAAATGCTAGAGGCCATAGCTAAGCAGATATCCTAAGAGAGGTGCCCTTAAGGGACCTCTTAGTCACTGAATTCCTGCTACCACTACCCATGGACTCTGCCTAGCATCTTTATTTTAATCTGAAGGAGTGAATAAGAACATAACCATTGCACTCAGCAGAAAAACACATTCTTAAAGCTGAACACCTCTGCTTGCATGCAAACTGCATGTTGCTTGTGCTGTACTTGTCAAAACTGTGACTAACAAGATAGATTTTGGAAGCCTGGCTTCTCCTGACTGTGTCGAGGTTGTACTGTGCATGCAAGAGGAAATGAATGATGTTTTTAAATTTTTATGCTCTGCTGAGATGCGGGAGAAGCGCAGTATTGTTAGGCCTCAAAAAGAGGGGAGACGAATCTGATCACTCCTGCGTAATGACATTTCGTGAAGCCGTCATTTAAGGCACAAGACACCGTTCTTTGTACAATGACATTTGTACCAAGTTTCTTAAAAACACTACATTTCTCGTAATATAATGATCTCGCTTTCCGGGAAGAATCTTCTCCAGTGTTGCCATTTTACAGAGCCTGTAATTCTTAATTCAAATTCAACGTGCCAAAAAAGGTATCATCTTTCTGAACTGAGTTTTACTATTTAACGGGAAGCAGACGGCCAAAAACTCCCATCTTTTTCCCGCGCAAGTTTCAGGTTCAACCTCCGCGCTTCTTTGTTTTGACTTTCAAATGAAGGCCTCGTGTACTCAATCGTATTTCATAGACACCATTGATGCCGAGTGCGAAGTAGAGCTAGAGTCCGAGCCCTGAAGGCCGAGGACTGCGTCGCCTTCTGGCCTTTACTGCTCTGATGTCTACGGCTCAGCTCGGTGAACCCGCTCACTCGCAGCAAAGCAGAGCAACTGCGCGTTCTCCTCAGCGGCAGAGATGCTGCCCCTGCCGGGTGGGAATGCACGGGGCGGGGGTGGGGGACCCAACTTACTCTTATTCTGTATAAAGCACCGATATGCACACGCATAGTACATAAGTAGGCATGTAGTATATCTGTGATATGTCAAGCCTTGTGTGAAAGCGGTGCTTAGAGAAAAAAACGTTTTTAAAAGCTGGGGGAGGGGTCATGAAGGAGGCATTTTTAAAAATTTTAAACAGGTTGCAAAACACTGATGTAAACATAGCGAAGGGAGCTTTGGGGGTGATAACAAGCAAGTGAAACTTTCTTTGTTTGTTTTCGTTTCCCACAGAACTGAGGGAGGGATCACAAAAGGGGCCACAATTGGGGTCCTCCTCGACTTAAACAGGAAAACCTTGACATTTTTTATCAACGACGAGCAGCAAGGTCCCATAGCATTTGAGAACGTGGAGGGTCTGTTCTTCCCTGCTGTCAGCCTGAACAGGAATGTGCAGGTACGAGCCCCACCCCACACCCCACTCCCGCACCCTACCCCACCCCACCCCAGCTTCTGCACGCTGCTGCTTGGAAGGCTGCTCAGCACTGCTAAATCAGACTCTCAGCGGGAAGCTGATCCTGTAAGGCAGAGAGCAAGATGAGGAGGTAAGAAGAGAAAGAGATGAACGTGCGGAGGAGGGACTGCACATTCCTCCACACGTTCCTTCCTTCTCTCTATCTGTGCATGCAGACCTGTTAGCAGCCCGTGGCGGACCGGAAGCTCTTCTATTCTTGTTTGCTCTAGTTTCATCACTAAATGGAAATGAAAACCTGGATCCCACTAGCAGGGACACCAGTGAGATGACTCACACAAAGCTCTCTGGGTACCTGGGAAGCAAAGACATAGGAGTGACTCCCTTCAGCCTTGCTGGCTGTTGGGGGAATAGAAAGCACGATGCCTGCCTGCAAGTTCCTTACCGATGATCTAGTGTAGGTAGAAAGCAGCTCGTCTTCCAATGGGATGGAATGCCTGCATTCCAGATAGCTATAGTGCTTTTACTGTGCCAGGCACAATAATAAGTATTGATATACATCTGTGAGATTTTTTTTTTAATTAAAACTTGATTTCCCAGAACTCCATTCTAGTTATAGGACACAGACATGAATGATAAGGCATGCTGGCAAGGGATGAGTGCAGTGGAAAAGGGACAGCGGGTAGACTAGGTGACCGGGAGGGCTGTGATAGGAGTGGGTGTTTGCAGTCCGAAACAGGATGGTCCTTATAGGCTGGGCCTATTACAGCCACAGGTGAGTTCTGCATCAGGGCAGGTGCGGAGGGCGAGGGGTGGAACCTTCTAGGCACAGGGAACAGCCAATGCAAGGCCTCTCGGACCTGAGGAGGCTGGGATGGGCAGAGCAGGCAGGGGTGGGCAGGAAAGTCTGAGCTGCACAGCAGGGAGAGCTGTGCCCCCCAAGCCTGCTAGGACCCAGCATTTCACCACCCTGAGGAGCTGGGCCTTACCACACTAACTGTGAACTTCAGCCTGCAAAAGGCTGCCCTCAACCAGGACTTGAGACTCGAAACCCTGCAGGGGATCTTTGCCCTTTCCAGATCCACAGCTTCACATGCTATTTTTGAAACTCATTTTTGTTTATCAATAGAATCAGTAAGACTGATTGCAAACCAGTGGCTTGTGCCCCTCTCTTTCCTGCAAGTGGTGGGCTTTCTGGGTAGCTGGAATCTTAATATTATAGAGCTCAGCCCCAACACTGGAAGAAAGCAAGCTGTATGTTACCCTACAAGGGAAGCCCTCGAAACCCTCACTCAAAGTTTTTCACGCTTTTCTTCCAAAGACTGTCCAACCAAATGCTCCCCAGCTGTTTCCAGAAGGTTCTAGGTATCTTTAGATGAGGACTCAGGATGGAGAAGATGGGAAGGGGAAAATGATAGCAGTGAGTTGAACAGAAACTGGTGGGGTAATATAGATACCATGTTTCTTTATAGCGGGCATCTGATCACCCGTACACTCCCAGAAGGCAAGGCTTATCCTCACTTGGAATAACTAGTGGGCAGGAAACAGGGCAGGAGTTGTTACTATAAATCTGATCTCCATCCGCTGGACACTACAGTTTAGCCAGCAGGTTTTGCTCCCTGCACATTGGGGCCAGTGTCTTCAGGCGCCAGGCACAAGACCTTCCGAGAATGCCTTAGAAGAGGTGGGTAATGGAGAAACTCAGAACCAGTCATCACCAAGATGGGAAAGCCCACTATGGTGGGCAGCTTTCCCCACAGCTAGAATTGTGCTAAAATATCTTTATTGGCAGTTAGAATAGACTCTTGAGAGAAAGCAGTAGCCCCCTTTTTGAATTAGGAGCTTCCCCCCCCCCCCAGCACCCCAGCTCCCCGGCCAGGAGGAGCTGTCCTCAAGGTGCAGAACTCGCCATCTTGTCCCCTAGGTCACGTTGCACACTGGGCTCCCGGTTCCCGACTTCTACTCCAGCAGAGCATCCATTGCCTAAGGATGGCCTGGGGGGCTCCAGCTGCCTGCTTCCTTGAACTAAGAGCTTGACAGGAAGGAGCTCCACCCACCAGCCCATCAGGAGGCAGAGTTGGCAGGAGAAGGAGCAAGAGGAGAGAACTGCTGGTTCTCTGCCGACTTCACACCCACAGCCCGGCCCCTCTCCCTCCAGCCTCTCCACACTGTCATGCCTGTGTTCCCATCCACGTCCAGCACCTCGAACCAACCAAGGACCTACAGAGCCACATCACTTTCTTCCTACCCCCACATTATGGTTTTATTTCACTTACTCTTTTTTGTTAGGTGAGTTCATTTCATTTCTTTTCTGATCATGTTGTTGATGATGTACTGAACTGGCACTACCAAGAATAAATTCTCCTCTTAAGGTTTTCCTTAAGCTTTTGGTCAAAGAGGTTGTAGAGGAAGGTAGGGGAAAAGGAGTTGAATCTGGAACTTATAGTTTCCCTTCTAGAAGGTTTTGCCCAGATGTCTCTCCCTGAGAGCTAATCTTTGGTTGGTGAGCACAGTGAGTCTGGAATGGGCAGGTTTTATGACCCATTGAAGCACAAATTATCAGCTACACAGGTTCTCACTAGGGTAGGAGTCAGTAAGCCAGGCAAGAATCTCTGGCCGCTGGTGAGCTTGGAAAGGCTCTACAGAAAGCCAAATCAGGAGACTTGCTGTTTGATTCATTTATTTAGCACAGAATTTTAATTGAGAACAATTAAAACAGGCACTGTTCTTGATACAAGGACACTGTCCTAGGCAGTGCAGAAAGCTTCAGATGAACAGATGAGCATCGTCTTGTCCTCCTGGAACTTACTGTGCAGTAGGAGAGCAAAGCAGAAAATAACTACCTACAGATAGCTATGAGTACCAGAAAAGAATTATGAGGGTCAGAAAGGCTTCTTGGCTTCGTCTTTGACACTCCCTAGGAGGATGCCAAAACCCACACATTCTGGCCTTGGCACTGAAAATGTACCAGCTCATTCATTGCCTTCTCAACTGTGTTATTTTAATTATGGTCCCTGTTGCCACCCATCCCAGGGCCCTTCTTTGAAAGAAACACCATCAACATTCTCACTCATTGATGCTGTGGTGATACTAAGCCTTAAGTAAGTGGGTATGGTTTAAAAAATGGTGGCCCAAGGGCAGAGGACTCTTTCTCAGTGCCAGGAATCTACAGCTGCAGCCCACTGCCTATTCACACCCTCAGGACAAGCGTGCTGCTCTGTGTGTCCTGTCTGTACGTGTTACAAGCAAAACTCTATCCTCTCTGCTGTCATTCACAGCTGGATTTTCCAGAGTAGTTTTAAGAACGCTGGAAGACCACAAGGCACTACGTCCTTCCTAGGACTGCTAGGATAGTGTTTGCCATTCCTGAATGATGCTTATTACTTAGACTTGCCCTTCCCACTCTTCAGTCTCACAGGAAGTTTTAGAAATTGTAGGATCTGAGCAGGGGACAGTTCTAATTAACTGTGTGTTTTCTAGTGAAACAAGAAATTGTCAATTTTTAAAAAAAAAAAGAGGGAGAAAGAAAACAAGAATAGCAAATACAAGGGAAGAGGTCGGATGGGAAAGCTAGCAAAGTTTGGACAACAATGGTCTATGTAAATAGCAAATTATTCACTTCTGTGCTTCCTTTATTTCAATGATTTCTGTCAGTTGAGAATTTTTTTTTCAGCTAGAACCTAATTTATTGAATGGGTGCTATCCTGTTTATGTCTGTCTCAGTCTCCTGTGGCTACAAAAACACTCTATGGCTGGACAACGCTAGTTTGATATTTGAGTATGCTCTCATGAGACTCGATGGCAAAGCCGCTGTAGACTCATAGTTACTCTCATTCTCTAGAAAATTCATCCTGCTAATTAGATTTCTAGTGACTTGTAACACGTAGTTTACACTGAATTGCGATTATAGATGTATTCAGCTACTGTACTAGAAAATAAAAGGTCATTTTCAGTGTGCCAATAAATGATTTTTATGAGAGAACAAAATGTCTCCATAGAGTTTCTCAGTCTCTTGCCTCTTTGGGGGATAAACTGTCATTTGGCAGAGCAATACTTCTCTAGCAAAGCATGCTGGGAAACATCCCAGAGCTCCTGGAATTTCACACTGTTCAGGGTACTTCCTCAAGAGCCTGGCACTGCCCCCAGTATTACAAACCTCCTCAGCCTGAATCTGATGTGACTTCTCAGTTTGGATGCTTTGGGGGTCGGCGTCTAGGATCTGGCAACCCTGACCAACTTTCTTCTACAAAAGCCTCAAACCTGTGCTACAAAATAGTATATACTGACTTTGCCAAACCTGGCTCCTGGGACATCTCTTTGAATAGCTACACCTCACTCATCTCTCTTCCATTATTATTATTATTAGTCTTTTTCAGTGAACTGTTTTGTATTGAAAGAAAAACATTACTTAGAAGTAGATGATCTGGGCTGTAATCTCAGTGGATCGTGGGACCGTGGCGGTGGCGGCTGCTCTCTGTACATCTGCTTTCTTCTCTCTTTTCTTCTTTCCCTGCTGCCCCATCTCACTTCTGGTTTTTTCTATTCATTACCTCATGCAGCCATGCAGGGTTATTCTGCCAATGGTAAAAGGTTAATGGGCTTTCTGATCCCCTCCATTTCTTTGTAAAAAGAGCTAAGCGATTTGCAGTTTTCCTGCCCCGTACGTTCATCTTTTGCCCCCTCTATTCAATGCACAGATAAGAAAAGAGCCCTTGAGTTTGAATCAGGACCTCTGATTAGGATCAAGGAAACCATAATAATTAAACAAAGAACTTCTCAAGTCCATCTCCCTTGCAACTTATATGCACATGTTAAACCACCCGCTCCATCCTCCAAGACTGGTGTCAGGTGCAGCATCTGACGTAATGTGCCACGTACAACGAGGCTGCCCAGATCTTGGCTTTATCTGAAGAGGGAGCTTTTTGGATAAACCTGGAATGTGGGTACCGAATACAAGTGAACAACGGAAGCACCCAATAAAAGGCACCAAAATATCATTCCAGCCCTTTATCACTACTGCAGAAACAGATAGGTAGGGTGCTTTTCTGGAGCGGAAAACAGGCCAAAATGTTACTAAGTTTTTTTTATAGACTCATAAATCAGGAATTGGCAATGATGATGTGGCCTTGTGAATATACTAAAATCCACTGAACTGTATACTTCATGGCATCTGGATTGTATCTCAATCAATATGAAAAAAGAACAAATTCGTTGAACTTTAAAAAGATTGCTTGAGCAGGAAGCACAGCGCATACAGGTACCCAGGCCCTTCTTGAGCCCTCTCTCACGGGTTGCCAACCTTTGTCCAGATTCCAGGAGAATATCTAGGTATGAGCAATGACATGCTTCCCTAATGCTCAAAAGACTCATGCTATCTTTTTATGAAAAATACGTTTAGCTCATCCCTAAGACTCATCGAAGTCTTCACAGTTATAGCATTGTTGAAAGTCCAAGTCCAATGTCTCAAGGCAAACTCTTAGCTGTGAGTCCTTGAAAACCCAAAAAGAAAGTTAAACAGTCTGAACATATGCAGAGTAAATATTCTCATTCTGAAAAGGAGGAATAGGGGGCTAGAGGCAAATGTATCCAAAACAAGGCCAAAGCCCAACAGGGAAAATTATTAAATTTTGTAGCTTCACATCCATTACCCATAGCAAAGCTGTGAGCTCCCAAAGACTTGCATGCCCCACCCTTGTGGCTAGGCGCTAGTGCAACATACGTGGCCTCTCCCTTGGGCTGGATCCACCCAGTGCGTACAGCCTTTCTCTGACTGCATGCCCCTGGGTCCTCCTGGGGTTTCCACTGCACTTTTTCTTCACTCTCACGGAGACTGCTGCGACCCCACCACTCTTGCATTTTGTATGCCATAAAACAAGCACCATAACCATGATACCAAGGTGTGCTGCTGAAGAGGCCTCCAAGTGCTGGGATGCCTGAACTCTGGGAAACTCTTTTCAAGTTGGCCCTGAGTGAGCTGGGCTTGCAGGAGCTCTCTTTTTCAAATGAAAGCTTTAGTGCTCTGCTCCCATGATTCTGTGAAAGGAAAACTCTTGCTGGTTCCTGTAATGGTAAAGTGTATTTTTCCATTGTTCTGATGCAAAATATTTGACTTCTTTGTAATGCTAATCTTTTTATCAACCAAAGTTTCCTCTGTTCCAAGTTTGCTGGGCCTTCCTTTCTGGAAAAACTAAAAGCTTTTCAAATGAGCTTTTGCTACATATTTTATAGAAATCAGTACCCATGCCATAGCCTGAACATTGGGCTGCCTTTAAATTTTCTCCATGGATTTAGTCCACAACTCTTATTTTCAGTCTCCCACATAGTCTAAGGATAAGAAAAATGTAGCAAATTTTCTGATAGAGCATAACACACATAACCTAAAATCCAAATGCTGAAAGTACTTATTCCTAACTGAAACCTCCTGAGCCAGTTTTTACCATTTTCCTTTCTATCAACACTCTGATCTTCTGAGCTCCAAACCAAATCTCTTATCAAATTTAACTTGCAGCATTCTAGGGCTGCTTTAGCAGACATCTCTAAACCTTTCAAATTCCTCCCAAGAACCAGTTCCAAAGGCTAATAAACTATGCGACTAGGTAGTACCATGGCAATCAGCCCCCTTCTCTGGAACCAAAAATCTGTATTAGTCACTTACTTTATCACTGAAACACAATGTTTGAATCAAAAGAGGAGAGGATTATTTTGCTCCTTTCAGTTCATGTTCAACAGACTCCAATACAGAAACCACATGGGGGAAGGGCTTGGGCGGAGGAAGGATGCATATGTCATGGCAGCGAGGAAGCAGAGAGAAAAGGGAGGAGCCAGGGAGGGAGAGACACCCTTCCTTGTCACACCCCAGGGAACTGCCTCTCTCCAAGAGCAAGTTATTTATAGTGCTCCATGGTTCAGTCCTCTTTCAGAAGTCCACGAGGAGCACAAGAGGGCCTTGTGAGACGTCTAGATATAAACCATAACATTAAGGCAACCAGCTTGACAGGAGAAAGCTTCCGGAGGGCACACACCAGAGGCTTCCACTCTGGCTAAAATTCTTTCATAGAGACAGTGTGTTCTCTATATAATTATATGCAGTGAAGGATATATTCCAAGATGCCCAGTGAGTGTTTGAAAGGCAGGTAATACTAAGCTCTATAACTTCCTTTTATGTCTTGGCTAAGCAGTTATCATGTACTATATCATAACTATTTCAGTCTCAAGTGCAGCAACAAATCTAGTATAAATTTCTTCTCAATAAGTTCACAGATTGAAGATTCATTCTTACCTTAGATTTTAGAAACCTGGCACGTTTTCTTTATATTAACTGAAAGATTTCTACCTTTTCACCTAAAGAAAGCACGTTGCTGATTCTCTCTGGTATCTCTGAATCACCAACATTATACTCATGTACTTTGGGGCCAATATTAAGTAAAGTAAAGGATACTTGAGCACAACTACTAATATACCTCAAGTCAATAGGGCTGACAATCACAATAGCTATGTGCCTAATGAGTAGGTAGCATATACAGTGTGGATACGCTGCTGGACAAAGAGATGCTTCACAACCAGCTTAGGAAGGAGCAGGATGGTACAAGATTTCA